TCACACTTCTAAGCGAATTATTACCTACACATTATTATCACACGACAATGCACACAACATACAGCAACACACATGATATAAGTCATATAACACATAAGCTTAAAAAGGTAGTGGGTGGCGAACAAGAGAAGTGTGCCACACTGCATAATAAGTATTAAACAAAATCGCTGGCAAAATCAAGATACTAGACATGTGAAATTCTATACTATAGTTAAACAGTTGTTGTTCCATAAGGCGAGCTAATTTCTTCGTCGTTTGTAACTAATGGAACATTTAGAAATTACTTTAAGACAATGGTGTCGCTCATTTCCCATGCGAGGTTAGGAGGAACCTCCTTTGTTCCAAGTTTTTAAAATTACACAAGGTAGTTGTAGGAACAAAGACAGGACCGAGGAAATTACCCTCTGATAAATGTAAGGACTAAGAACGACGAAGAATTCTACAAGGAGCTAATCGTCTTCAACAGGGCTATATTAATATACCTCTAGCCAAATTCCAAATGCACTTGATGCCTCTGGCATAATTGGCTTCAGCAGGGCTGTGTTAATATACCTCTATCCAAAGTTCAAGTGCACTTGATGCCTCTGGCATAATCGACTTCGGTCGAGCTACGTTAATGTACCTCTAGCCAAAGTCCACACACACTTGATGCCTCTAGCATAATCGGCTATAGCTGGGATGTGTTAATATACCTCTAGCCAAAGTTCAAGCGCACTTGATGCCTTTGGCATAATCGGCTTTGGTCGGGCTATATTTATATACCTCTAGCCAAAGTCCAAGCGCACTTAATGCCTCTAGCATAATCGGCTTATGTCGGGCTACGTTAATATACCTCTGGCATCTCGGCTAAGTTAATATACTTATGGCCCGGTCATGTTAACATACCTCTGAACTTCAACGAAAGCCCAAGTTAATATACCTCTGGCATCCCGACTAAGTTAACATACATATGGCCCGGGCATATTGACATACCTATGACCTTAAATGAAAGCCCAAGTTAATATACCTTTGGCATCCCGATTAAGTTAACATACCTCTGAACTCGGTCATGTGAAGCTAACATACCATTGACTTTAAGCAGTTTGGTTAGCCTACCACTGACCAAATATCTCACATGATCTACTCAGAGTTAGTCGATTTGTGTTCGAGATTAATGAGACCCCTCAAAATCATCAAGTACTGACGATGGGGCTTCAAACCTATATTGTACAAACTCTGACTAAAATTACAAGCTAACTCACTCGGAGTTGACCATTTTATTTGATTTTCATTCGAACAAAAAAGTTGTTATTAAGGAGATAAAAATGTATTAGGTCTACATATCCAAAAGGATTAACATGGTCACAGCTAAAACATACAAATAAGAGTTCGATTTGCATTCAAGAGCGAATCGCCTATTTGTCGAGAATCATTATCCTACATATATCACAGCCAAGGTGTGTGAACTCGAATTCGATGGTGTATAATTGACCATATCTTATTTGAATCAGAGTAATGTGAAGGAATATGGTAATAGTACCCTGATTACCGCAATACTCAAAACCTATGTGGGGTAACACAAATTTAAAAACAAGATCAAGCATTGGAATGATTAAAACAAAGCTTCAAATGGTCGAGAACCACTGAGGATCTCCGAATTCTCCATGTCTAGAAATCACTGAGTTCTACGACAACTAAAATGGGCGAGAACCACTAGGACTCCCCGACTTCTTTATAACCAGAACCCGTCATGTTCTAAGATAAAAATATGTTAAGAATCTACCAAGAACCTCCGTCTTTTTTAAAAGAGTAGTATTCTTAGACATTATTAAAATCACAGATCTTCTCAAAGATACACTTGGAGCTTACCCTTATCTTTAGCAAAACTAAAATATGCTTTTTGGGCTTAAAGGTGTAGTTATCAAAGATCAGCAGAAGTAAATTAAAATATAGCTTTGTTTTAAATCCGAGGACCTCAATAGGATCCAAACATACTGCGGGATAAAAAGGAAGAAAGCCTTGCAAAAAGATATGCCCCATGTTATAAATAATTTTGTTGCGATCATTCACATCGTTGTGCCGATTTAGAAGGTGGAGACATGTAATGGTAGGCCGAGCTATACCTTATCTTCAAAAGGTGAATAGTGTTCTAAACTTCTTTTTTCCGAACATTTCATCCTTTCAACATTCATGCTTTGGGGGCGTATGTACATCCCTGAAAATATTTGGCTGGCTGAGATATGAAACAAGAATTTTTAAACTTGGCCAAGATATCCATTTCTTGTCGAGAAGGTCATATAGGAACCTCAGAACGACACACATAGGCCGACCCTGATATCGAGTGGCTGTGTCCCATGAAACAATTAAAAGGAAAAACTAAGGATCATATGAAGGTTATGAAATGTTAGTGTACATCCCAGATTTTATTAGGACCCAGATATGGTCGGGATGTATCTCGGAGAATTATTGTGAGTTCAAATAACGGGTTCTATAGCCATCTTGGATTTAATCGACCGGGATCTGAAAGAACAATCAAGGGTTGGAACTGTTACATAATGATTATTGTGTCGGTTACATATCACTAATGGTCATAAACAATTACAAGTACTTATTAAGTCTATTACAAATAATTAAAAGAAACGGTTATGTTTATGATGACCATAAAGCATAGTTATTGTTACTATTCAAGGGGGATGCTGATAGTATAAAAATGCCCTAAGACCAAACAGAAAAGGGAAAGATCGGGACAATGAATAACATAAAAAAGAGTAACCCTATGAAGAAACCTGGTACCACTAACAATGGTGGCTACAATCCGACATTTACGACCTTCCATGACTAGCTTTAGGGAGGTCAACTAGTTTATGTTTTTTAACAAGTTTCCATCCGATTGACATTCTTGAATTCATCAAGAAATTCTTCGTGAATTAGAAGTCAGGTGTTGGTGTATTTTTTAGCGTCCAATTGCTCGTTTCACAGCAAAGACATAAAGTTTTTGAGCGTCCAATCGCTCGGAGCCTGTCATTCTAACTGGGAGTTGAAAAAGAAATCCCTCTAAACCCCTATAGCTTCATGTTTTTAGGGGGCGGGTGATGTGTGTGAATCGCAAGTGCACAATTGTGTGAAGTAGTGAAAAGTATTGATCCCATAGAGAGATATGTGATTATCAGTTCTTATTTCAACTGTTTTATCTAAAGTGATCGAAATTGATTTGTTTGATTGCATATTGAAATTGATATTTAGAATTAATAAAAAGCAGGACTGAAATTATGATAATCTTTCAAAACTCACCCCTAAAATTATTCATATTCGAATTGTGAGAAGTTATAAGCTTTTTTTATTTTATATAAAATTAGATAAAAATGTGTGGCACCCACCTCAGTGGCTTGCGCATTTAAATATGTTTCAAGCACAATTATGCGTTTCAATCAAGAGTGTACGCCTTGTCATACAATGCCACGTTCTTGATTGTTTCTCAACTGAGATCAAGTTGCCTTGTCACTAGTGTCTCGAACTCAATTATTTAGTTACTTGTTTTCATATGTCGAATCATTATCTTTCGATACATGGTCGACATCTATTTTGATTTTGTTTTCACAACAGTCATATACACGAACTAAAATTCAAGTTTTAAAATAAAGCAGACTTAGTAGAGGTTAATGAACCTACTAAATCTGATTTATTTTATAACTTGAATTCTAGTCCATATATTTTTACGTCCTAGGTTACATGTATTTTTTTTTTTTTGTAGTAGTGAACCTAGAAGCAACAAAATCATTTTTAAATAATATTTTTAATTAAAATTGATCCATTCTTATCTCATGATTGTCACAAGTCCATATAAAGAGATTATTACCATTTTAATTAAAAAACTTATAACAAAAAAAACATATATAATATTTTATTTTATGTCCTACTCACATGTGTTTTTTGTAATAGTAAACCTAGAAGCAATAAAATCATTTTTAAATAATATTTTTAATTAAAATTGATTCATTCTTATCTTTTGTTTGTCACAAGTCCATATAAAGAGATTATTACCATTTTTAACTAAAATTTTTATAATAATTAAAAAACAAATATAATATTTTATTTAAATTTACTAAATAAATTAAAATCAACTTTTGAATTAGATTCATAGACGAATATTTTATTTTAATCAAAGTTTTGACCAATACAATATATATAAACTATCATATTATATTGATTTTTATATTGTCAATCAATTAATCAATATATATCATATTATTTAATAATTATTCGTAATTTAAAATAAATCTGGTTTTAATAAATATAGCTTTTTTGAAAAAGAAAATAACATTTTCATTTTTCTAATGTAAAAATAATAATAATTTTTTCATCTATGTTTTTAAATTATTATCAAACATACTACGCTTCTTTTAGTCTAGTTATCAAATGAGCCATTTGTTTTTATATTTAATAATTAGAGTATCACAGATTCAAATCTGGTATAAGTTGTTCATGCATAATTACCACCAACATTGGCTTAGAAGAAGCATGAATATAATACTAACCCATATAGAATAAACCGAAAAATTCATTCTCTTTTTACAATTTTATTGTATTTTTTTAATTTATTGAAAACTTTATACTATAAATTTATGTATTTTGAAAAGTCAATGAATTTGATATTAATTTTTAGTAAAAGGTACAACAACTTTTCTTATACCATTGTAGTTAAAATTTATTAGTATTTTCCATTTTAATTTAATACTATCTAGTCCTGCAATTATAAAGAAAATTGACAAATGGTATCATCAATACTTTAAATAATATATATATATATATATATATATATATATATATATATATATATATATATATATATATATATATATATATATATATATATATATATATATATATATATATATATATATATATATATATATATATATATATATATATATATATATATATATATATATATATATATATATATATATATATATATATATATATTATCACCATAGACATATAGAATCAATATCATTAGAAAAATGAAATCCACCACATTATCCTCATCATCTTTGTTCATTATTTTCTTGTCTCTAATATTATATGCTGCTCCAGCATTATCTGAATCCTTGTATGAAACGTTATGCGCTTCAACAAGTCAAGATGCCAATGTCTGCTTGATGCTCTTGAAATCTGACTCAAGAGTCACTTCAGCCACAAACTATGATGATCTCTCAAAGTATATCTTGGAGTTGGCAGTAAAGGATACGATGGAAGTTCAAAGTTTTATGGCCAGTCAGTTCAGTACCCGTCCCAGTGATGAAGGTATTAGACAATGTACACTGTCTTTCTACCCTAGGGCTATTGAATTATTCAAAAGTGCGTTAAGTAAGTTCGCAAAGGATCCTCAAAATGCAAAAAATGATATACAAGGTGCTGGTTATGAATCTGGCCTTTGTGTGAAAGCTCTTCAAGAAGAAGGGAGAAATGATGCTTCGATTAAAGAGCGAAACAATCAAATCTTTGTTATTAGTGAAGTTGCTTTTTTGTCTGTAAATCATCTTACATAGTTATGGCGTATGAAATCAATCATAATAAGCTTTTGGCTTAATAAATTAGGGTTTCCAATGTAATCTAATAAAATAGTCAAAGAATATGTTTTTAATTTGTTGTATTTCAACTAAATGTTTTACCATTTCAATCTTAATTTTATAAGGTGTTAGTTTGTGGGAAGATGTTAACATTGTAACATCAACATTTTGTTTTGCTCTCGGTAGCATATGTTGAAATTAAACCAAAACAATTAATTTTACAAGGTATGCTTTATACACAATATCAAATATATTTAAGGTTCAAAATAAAATAAACAAATAAACATTTATATAAGGAAGAGTTTAATTAATTGACAGTATACACGATCAATAAATATCAATTAAATTCTTTATATAATTATAGAATTCACAATATTTTTGCTTATCGTTATATATTTTCTTATAATTTCCTAACTGCAAAAGAGATATAAGTGATTATAAATATTTGTAATCCAATCGCGTGAAATTGGAGTTAAGAATAAAGAAAGGGATATGAATCAAAGGCGAAAGCAAGAAATATATAATTCGAATCTAATGGATAACTCTAATGGTCTCTAAGTACTTTTTTTACCCCTAAATGTGTGTTCAACCCTCGTGAAATTGAGCAAATTATCATTTGAACCTTAATCATTTTCCTAATCATTTAATTTCTTGTTGAATTTCTATATTTTGATTAGTACGTAAAGAATGGCCTATAATTCAATTATGTGGTTTTGTTGAATTTCTATATTTTGATTAGTACCTAAAGAATGGCCCATAACTCAATTATGTGGTTATCAAGAATAAAGCAAATTGTTAGTAAACTAAAAAAATCTCATAAATTAAGAAAATTGACACGTGGTGTTGTGATTATCACTCAATCAATTATCTAAACAAAAATATAAGTAAAAAAATCAAACTCAAAATTTAAATTTAAAAAAGAAACTTGTTACAACCTTTAGTTGCCTTCTAAGAAATGCTTGTTTAATGTCACAAACTTAACGCCCTAGCCTTATGTTAATGGGGATAAAATATTATAAATTATACTTCATCTATAATTTTTCTTATTTTAGATAGGAATTGCATGTAATTTAGATAGCGAGTAAATGTTTGTCTATCGATATTTGAGCCATCAAAATCTCCATTCTCTTGTACATAGTTCTCCCAATACATGCTTTCATTCTTCAATACCAGATACACTGCCCCATGATTCTTGTCTCGCTTAATCTGATTCTATCGTTGCACTAGAGTTTGCTTCACCTCTTCCATTTTCAAACACTCAAGAGATATGCTTTCTTTATCCTCTTCGAGGGCTAACTTGAGATCACAGATTTGCACCTCAAGTCCACCTCGACTATCTTTGCATTTGGGTATATCTATCTACCATTATTTTTAGCTCATAGATTGAGTGATTAGCCTTAGCCAAATCTTAGCTTCTGGATTTGAGCTCAGAACCAGCTCCACGGAGAGCATCTCAAATCCATTCTTTCATGCCCTCTTCATATCTAACTCTCTTGTTACTTTCCTCGAGTGCTTTCTTCTTTTCTTGACTTTCCCACTTCAAATCTTTGTTTTCTCTGGTGGTTTGGTCAAGCTTGAGTTGTAACTCTGAATTCTCTAATTCAAGTCGTTGTATATTATTTCTAAGCTACTAAACCTCTCCAACTGAGATAGGAACAGGCTCAGGAATGTGTGGGAAAATAGAGGAATCGAAGATGAAATGAAGCTTAATCTTCTAGACTTTTTCCTTTATCGACTAAAGGTAAGGTTCTCTAGCAATGAAGTTCCTTTTTCTCCACTCTTTTCCTTTTCAATTGATCTTTCCCCAAGCTTTTCTAGTCTTTTTCATAATCGGGTTTTCTGCCCCAGTGTCATGCAAGATTAATGCTTCTAGGAGTTTATCATTTGGTGGACTTTCCATCGGGTGCCCAAGTTTCCTCATGAATAACACGGGGTTATAGTTGATACACCCTCGAGTTCCTATTAGCGGCACATTTGAATAGTCTCCACAACTAAGGAAAATGTCCTTTGTCTCTCAATCTCACTTATACCACTGGATAGAGCTAGAGGTAAGGGATGCCAACCTTTGGGGCCGTTTGAGATCCTTGGAAACAAAAGGGCCTTCTTGAGGTATGTGAGTCATGAGACAAGTGTGGAAGAGTGGAACACAACATAGGAGAGTTCCACCTCTCTTCTCATGTAAAGTGTGGAGGGAGTAATATATATTAGCTAGAAGAGAAAGCACAGGGTTGCCTGCATGGAATACTTCAATGACCAAGTTGTCTACAAAGTTGTCGATGTTAGGGAATAGTACAATCCCATAGGTTAGGAGGGCAAGTATGGCACTGAACGCCTTCCAATTTTCTTCCTTCTCCAATGTTATGGTCTGACTTTCCAGGAACTTCCTTGAGAAACCCTTCAAACTCCCTTTGGTTTCCAAGTTAGATATCACGTCCTTGATATCGAGCACCAAGGTTGAAGTTATAATTTATGGAGTAGGAACCTCATCTATCTTAACAAACAGATTGTGCTCTTTCAATGTTGGGCCCAAAATCCTCTCCAATTCTTCCAAGGTCGGAGCTAACTGGAAATCAAAGAATGTGAAGCAGCTGAATGGAAGGTCAGAGAATTAGGCTACAACAATAACAAAGCTCATGTGTATCTTATATGTTAAGAGGTCTAAGATCTCCCAATAGTCACCTATGAAATCATTGTGCTTGATAGTAGTCAGTTAGGAGCTCAAAATCTTCAGGCTTTCAGCTTTAGGCTCTTTGAACTTATATAAGAAAGTGTTCATTCTTTCTTAACCCATTTTTAAATGCTTGCAGATAACTCAAATCCTTGATATAAACGTCTGATGCTAAGAGCTTTGTTATTTTCCTTTTTTATGCAGATGTAGTGGAATGCAAATGGATGCAATAAGATGTCAAGCATTTTTATTTAGGTAATATGGTTTCAAAGGTTCGAGGTACGGATGATGGAAATTCAATTTTTTTCACATAAGGTTCTCACCAAGTCAGATCCAGGGTTGTAATAACGGTTCCTAGAGTCATGTATTCGACATGAAAATAGTGCCACCTATAGTAAGTTACTTGTCGTACAATAATATCCTCACGAGGATCTATTTTAGGTGAGGTTTTCATGCCATCCACACTAGATATACATCTCGCAACCAACATTACACAACCATTTACTCTAAGGTTCTAGGCACGGTTTTCAGAGTCATGGATTCGACATGAAAATATTGTTGCCTACGATTCTTTTTGGACAACGATACCTGCAACGGAAGATATTGTGAGTGAGGTTTTCGTATTAACTCCACGAGATATACATCTCGCAAGCCAACACTGCGCAATTGTCATTCCTAATAGGCCACAAGCTTAATGTTCTAAAAAGGTACTTAGAGTCATGACCTATCATGAAAATATTTTCACCTATGGAAAATTACTTGTTGGATAAAAAATTTCTTAAGAGGATATACTATAAGTGAGGTTTTCCTGCTAACCTTACAAGATAAACATATGCAAGGCCAAAACTACACAATCATCGCTCTATCTTATATTTTCTCTCAAGACTCGGGTGTAGAGCTTTTCTCACAATATGTTGAAGCAATTAGAATATCCATACCAACAACACATTGAAATTATTTAGCAGATATAGGATAACAACAAATATAACATGAGATAAACATAAGCATATTATAGAGGAAATACAAAAGAATAAATAAAAAACATAACACAAAACAAACTAAACTAGGTTTGAATCTCTTTAGGAAACAAATATCACTTTCCAAGCAGAGTCGAGAGCTGTTGCGACGCAAAAAAATACCACAAGCGCTCGCATGCTTGAGATGATAATAGTGTTTGTACTGAATGTTATTTATTCCAAAAAAAAGGAAAGGGATATCAATAAAACCCTGAAAAAGAAAATGAAAATGGTCGTCGCTACCATGCATATACGAGTTCGGGATTCGATTATGAAAGGGGAAAGTATTAGCACCCCTCACATTCGTTGTACTCAATGGGAACCATTTAGTTAGTTTTAAGTTAAGTGTTAGCTTAGAAAAATGTTTGCGTTCCTTAAAATATTGAAAAGGAGAGGGACTAAAAATAGGTTTTTTATTAGGGTACCTGACGAGATATTGAATCTCGCTCCTACGTATATCTAACTTCAATGGAGAACTCAAGGCTACGTAGTTATGGATAAAAAATATTTATTTGTTTTGTCGATTTTAACGAAAGCTATTTAATCACAATAGAAGAAAAAAATATTGCTTACTATCCAAAACACTAGAGAAAGCAAACATTTGCACCACAGAAAAGAGATATACATATCAATATTCACAAATAATGTCACTAACTTACTCACACATATAAGGACTTACTCACACATATAAGGACGAAGTGTTGTTTTTCATCATCTCAAGAGAAGCATATTTCCTTTATAAAAGGAATTTGAGATTTAAAAAGAAAAAGGTTCACTACAACAAAAACAATATTTAATAGCGCTTTTATGTGTATATATCCAACATTAGGGGAATACCAGCTAAGTGAAAGGCATGATATTATTGTTTTAATAAACTTCATCATCCAATAGAGATAAACTCATGGCACCTAGGTGTCCCCTTGGCTCTACCTTCAAATACAACATTTGAGAACCTTTCTCACTTTAAGAGCACGTCTCGTGTAAAGTAACAAAAATATCATAAGTTATCACTTACAAAGATTTTCTATAGATCCATTTCTTCAATTATTTCTATCATAGATCCATTTTCTATAGCTTAAAGTAAGCAGTCATTCATTAAAAACTTTGTGCTTCCAGTTCGAGATGCTTCCTGTCCTACAATACTAAACCAAATTATTACTGTCAATTTATATATCACTATTGAAACAAGATTTCGAATATATATAACTTTGGATAAGAAATAAGTGAATAGAAAATATATTATTCAAACTTAACACCCACATAACAAACTAACCACCAACCAAACTAGCAAAACT